GTCAGCACTGGTCTAGTAGAATACTTACAGACTGCTAGAGCTCTATCCAGTAGATTATTGGTCTGCAGGTGGGGTGTTCTATTTTTACTTTTGCTGAGTGTTTTGAGATATGGATTGGGTTTCAGTTTACTTAATCCAATTTTGTATGCTTTCATAGAGGCTGTAGGGTGATGTTGTTATGAGAAACCTTAAAAGAAAAAAATCTATTGAATACATAGGTAATTCTAGAAAGTAATATTAAGTAAATGCAATCCTCAAGGCTCTGTGTTAAAATACGACTATTTAAAGTCTCTGTTAATTTACTGGTCGAGATCTGATTCTTATGTTGGTGTAATGTAATTTTTGTGTTTAACAGAATATATTAGTTTCTTACTAATGGATTCTCAAGTAGACATCTTGATTAAATGTTTTCAAATAGGTGACACAGGGGAAGCAGAGTTACTTACCAGTTATGACTAACCTGGCTTTGCTTTGAAATTGCAGAAAGTAATCCATTTTCATAGTACTTGCCAAAGAAAAGAGAGCAATTAGTCTTGCTTTCCTGTTTAAAACTGTGATTCACACTGTAATATATGCTGTGAGGTTAGTAATTGTATTGCAAATATAACTAATGTAAGTTGTTTATGAAGAGGTAGATCAGTAATGCAGCTAAGGTACTCTTGAAGTTAAAGGAAAGACTGGGTAGAGAAAGTGGGTGTTTCTTCTACTACATACGTTTATGATAAATGAATAACTGCCACCACTTGAAGTTCTTGAAAACTTGGAACACTGGTGTCCTCAAAGGCAAAGAATAAAGAGCATAAAGACTATTTTACTGTTCCATCAGAAAATAAGATGTAAAAGTTCCCTCACAGTTTTGTGTTCGTTTTTTTTTGGTCGTTCATAGTTGATGTGAACTTTAGATTTTATAACCTATTACATGTGAACAGTTTTGATGTTCCATTCTATTGTTTATAACATACTAAAAATTAAAGAAAAATAATATTCAGCTATGATAGAAATATTCCTTAAACAGTAAGGTAAATCAACTGCCTGTTTTCAGAAACAGAATGCCTGTTTTCAGAAACCTCTGTCAGTCTTTACAGATGTATCAACTGCAAGAAAATACATTGAGTTTTATGATCGGCTTAGAAGAATTTTTATGTACCATGTACTATTTTATTTAACACAGTCCATCTATTGATTCCTTGATTGATTTTTTTTTTCTTTAATAACTTTCTCTAAGTTTCATAGTCATGGCAGAAAATATATAGCTTTTACAGCTATAAATCGTGCAAGCTTCTGAAAGAATTTTGATCAAGTTTGTGTTGAATATTACTTAACGAAAAGTTGACTTTAATGCAGAAGCCCATTAAACTTATAAAGTTACTCAGAAATAAGAAACAGTGACAGGACAAACTACAGCCCTAATCTGCAAGTGCTTAAACCATTGACAGTTTCAACTTTTGACCAATACATGGTGATAATGGAAAAACTAATGTCTAGAAACAGATATACTCTCTCATACTCAGAGTATAAAAAGGAGAGTATAATATTTGTTACATTGTATTTGATATTGTGGTTTTGTTTAAGCTTTTTAACCTGGTTCTTACATAATTGGTTTTTTTTTAAAAAAAAAAAAGAAAAATGCACGTGAGTCAATGAACAGTTTTCTGAAAAGCAGTGCTCCAACTATAGTATTTAGCATTTTACGCCACACATTTAACTTAGCTTTCCTATTAATAAGGTGTGATGAGACAATTCAGACAGTATGTGTAACTCTCCTGAATCTTCTTTAGTTCAGGCATATAAAGTTTCATCTGGATTCTGATGTATGCATAATCCATTGAAGGTAGGATAAATTGTATGGCAACTCACATACATACACAGAAACAAAAACAAGCATTTACTCATACATCTATGCTTAGGATATGGTGTTTACTTGTAACTCCTGGATGACCAAAAAGAGGATGACTGCTAGACGTGTTTTTCATTGGTAAGGAATAATAAAGACAAGGAAATAAAAATAATTTTCCAATGTAAAATCCTCTTCATGTGCATTAAAACTTTTACATCCCCATTTATTCTGATTTTAATCTTAACTGTGATCAGAATAAGAGAAAACAGACAAAGAAAAAAGCACATTTGTTTTATTTAGAAAGACTGGATTGGTCAAAAGTAGCAGCAAGGGTCATAATTTATATGGACAAATATTTTTCCAGAACTCAAGCAAAAACTAAATAAATAACTTTATGGATAGCTTCAGGGTTTCATTCAGATTAACAGTTTCTCTCTCCACTATTCCTTCCTGCTGCTTCTGTCACCCTGGTTTGTATTTCTCATTAGAAACTGCCCTTTAAGATCAGTGGGGAATTTCTTGCAGTTTTGCAGATATACCTAAAATTACTGCTTGTCTTTTAATTTTTGTACTGTGGCACAATCATATGACTTAGAAGTTACAAGTAAACTTTCCATAGCAAATGTTTATAGTTACCTAAAATAAAAAGTGCCGAGTTTAACATACCTAAGTCTCCCTAGATAAAGATAGCACAGTGGATTGTGCCCAAATGTACTCGAAATCCCATGGTAAATATAATAGCACAATAAAGCAACTGAATGACTGAGATTCAATGAAGTAACTAATCGGGGAGAGTGGCAACAAAGGAAGTCTGAGAGAGTCCAGTTTTTCAGGGATCTGCTGAAATATTGGGTAGTGATTCAAACCAAAAGGTGTTTCTTTTACAGAGCATGCATATACACAGATTTTGGTGAACTGATAATTCTGAAATAATTCAGAATTATAATTTTCTTTTTCCCAATGACCTGAATGTGTAAATTCTGTACTTCCTTAATTAATTCCAGTAATCTGGTAGTAAGCATATGATATGATAATTTTAAAGATGGTTCACTTTTTAAAATCAAAATTAGAAATGTGTGCTTCTTTTGGAGCAGTATATCAAGTTGAATTCATAATTATCAAAGATGTATGCAGAGCTTAAGGAATCTCTCAAGAAGGTTCAAGGAAAATCACCCATATTAAGCAAAAGAATATAAAAAAAAACAGGTAATGACTGGGATTTGACTACTTAGGCTCAGTTGTGACTAGGTGCAGGGTTTGTTTCACTGTTCATGGTACTAGAGATCACCCCCGGCACTTCATACTACATCTAGGTTGAAACTGGGTACTAATGTCTAGTTTACAGCTTGTTTTCCCCACCAATGGAATTATTTGGTTTGCTCCAGAGCAGAATGGGGATAAAATTAACATGCAAGTAGTTGATCTAATTAGGTGATGATTCATATAGGTCTTCCAGTGGACAGACAAACTCTGCTCTGGCCTTTGGGTGTTTTCCCGAATCTAGGAGGTTTTCTTGCAATTTATTCTGATAAATCCAGTGGTGAGAAAATAAGGAAAAAGAGGAAAGAGGAAAAAGAATCAATATAATGGAAATACCTGTACTTATAGGTTCTGTATTCTTGTTTTGTTGTAGTTGATTTGTTACTTTGGTGGCAAAACTAAAAATAATGGTACTTTAATAATTATTCCCTTCCTTGCTCAGAGGAACAGGATAGCAACAATCGCCATGGGGAGTGATTTACTTCTAGTTTGTAGACCCCCTTTTCACAATATGATTCTACGAATAAGGAAAATTATAAGAGCTTTTCTTGGGGGTACTATACTATGTAATGAACCATGCCAAAATTGCCTATGTAATAAGTGCCAAAATTAAGACTTCTTTGCACTTTGACTAATTTCTTAGAAATATTATGAAGCTCCTATAGAAGAATATCATACTGTTATTTCAGTATGATGGCTATGATATATGTAAACATACAAGAAGGGAAAATAATTTTAGGACTAAGAAGGAAGGTTTCTTGACCAGAAGACAACGTATACCCTACACTGGAGTTCACTATTGGTAAGACTATTCTATACAAAATTGAATTTGCTAAGTTGTCATTCCATATACTCGGTATCAGTCATCAGTTGAACTATGAAAGGTTCCAATGGAATTTGAGATTTGCCAACTCTATTTAAGCACATTCCAGGTAAAAGATGAAGCTATTTTCATCTAAGAAAACAAGGTAAAGGTGTTAAGGATATGCTGGTTAAAAATGGCAGACTCAGCTGCTCTGATATGCCTTTTTAGCTCTATCAGTAATTAGAGTGATTCAGCGTCAAAGATTATAATTTACAAATTGACCATTGTGATCAGATATTTTCCTGTGACATTTATAATTACAGCTATATATGTTAAAAGAAAAAAAATTGGAGTTCCGTTTATGTTTACCAAGAACAAATAGCTCAAGAATAAAGAGTATACAGTAGGATAAAGAGTGCTCCAAAGCTTTTTCTCCCTTTCGTCCTTCCCTCCTTTTTAAAGTTATGTTGGTTTGTAATTTTGTGATATAGTAACAATGGAGTATTATCATCACTTTGTTTATTTGTTTGAATTGTATGGTTGGTTATGCTAGGAATAAGCAATAAGCCCTTTTACTGCTATGTTTATTTTAATGCAAAACTTTTTTTTTCCCCCATCTCTCTTGTCAATATATTTTGCCGAAATAACTTACTATTAATTGTCTTAAAGGGTGTTAAACACAGTGCATCTGGAGATGTATACCTTACGTTTTGGATGTTTTCTAATGACTTTTATTCCCTTAAAACCGCAAATGAATATTGGCCCTCTGTAAAGACTAGGTTAAGTTAAATTTATGTTCTATATTACTTTAAACTGTATCATGTCATTGTTTTAGAATCTGGGGGTGATTTTTGTTAACTGAAATTCTTTCATTTCCTTAACACTGATTGGGCCAACTAATTCCAAGCAAGTAGAGCTCGTACCCCATCCATCTTTATCGTAACCGGTAATAAAGAACCCTCTAGGCTTGACACATTGTCATGACAATTATTCTCAAGACATTATATAGCAGTTGTATCTGTCAACCCATGCAGTATGGAATACTTTAACTGGCAGTCTTCCAAGAGTGAACATTAATCTTAGCATCTCTTCTTACAGTCCCTAATCAAGATATTCCAGGGGTGATTGCACTAACATTGTTTGAAGACTACATCTACTGGACAGACGGGAAAACCAAATCACTCAGCCGTGCCCACAAAACCTCTGGATCAGACAGACTGTCGCTGATTAACTCATGGCATACCATTACAGACATCCAGGTGTATCATTCTTATAGGCAACCTGATGGTAATTATTCTGTCTATGCTTTCTGTACAGAACATTGATATATTTCACTTGGTAGCCGGTTGCTGAGTTAACAGAAGCTCATTTTTCTGCAGTGATTTATTTTTATTTGTGTTTTGTTTCAAATTGTGGAAGTTTTCAAATTAGCATTTTTAAATATAAATCTGAGATTAATGTTGCAAGTATATCTGGTATTAAATAAATGTGATATATCTTGTTCAGTGGTCAGATACCAATTTGGGCACTTAAAAATTAACCCAGATACTGACTGGAAATACAGAACTGTTAAGTTGCATTACAATACAGGTTACCAGTTACCAAGATGGGAACAGTGTGTTATGAAAACATTTATTATTTGAAAAGTAAGGAAGTGTTAATAATACAGAAGAGTACTGTTATTTAGAAACTTGTTGGACTGAGGGAATGTCAGAGAATGTAGGCGTTGCGATTGTTTCTGATCTCCTGATGTCCTTGTATTTGAATTGTAATGGAATACAATTTGGCACTTGACCTAGATAAGCTAATTTTTATCTCATTATAAAAAAAAAAAGTGCTTTTTTCTTCCTCTCATTCTTTCAATATTGAATCTACATCCATAGTAATAATTAATTTTTGCATACAACAGAGAATAACTTAAAGGCAAAAGGAAAAGATTGCCTCTTACGGATTTTTGATTTGAGGTGGTTCATTGTAAAAGTAGTATGTGTAGTATATTTTTCTTCCTCTATAAAGCAGATACCCTGAAGTATACTGAAACAATAGGCTCTGATATTCTTTTCCTATTCTGTCCACAGTGTCGAAACATCTATGCACACTAAACAACGGTGGTTGCAGTCATTTATGCCTTCTAGCCCCTGACAAGATGTATACTTGTGCCTGTCCCACTAACTTTTACCTTGCTGCGGATAACAAGACGTGCTTATCGAACTGCACTGCCAGTCAGGTAAGTGCGTATGTATGAGGGAAGGGGGAGTGGGGATTATATTTTACTGTGTTTTCACCTGCTTTTAAACAATGAACGCTAGTGCCCATGAAATGTGGAACCATCAGTCAAAGGAGCTGAGAACAGGTAACTCACGGGTGCATTTAAAGCATTTCATCTTCAAAGCTATTAGTTGAAAATAGACTTGCAAATGCCTTTTTTTCAGAGAATGCAGAACTTGTTCCCTTTCAAATATGGATGTTTCTGCCAGTTGCTAGAGCAAATACAGCTACTAAACCCATAAAAATTGCTTTGAAAAAACATTTGGATAAAATATGAAACATAAAAATACAAAGTGTATATAAAAATGATACAAAGTGTATGTAACAATGATTTGGGAGTATTCATGCATGAATGAACTTTATATTAATACAAGAAAACAAGCTCAGTCCAGTTAGCTAGATAGGCAAACGGTAGGATTACATTAAAAACAATCCAGTAGCTGAAGCAATTAATTAACAATTGCATCAATTGAAACATTGAATTCTTTATGGGAGGTGGATTCCCTAGTACTTGAAATAAGTACATGGTGATTTTTTTCTTAAAATATAAGGTAGATAAAGTAGAACATACTGATACCTTATAAGAGAACTACTTCGATAAAAGTCTTTGGACTGTTCTACCCAGACAATTAATTGGTTGACTGCAGTAGTACATACGACCTTTGATTGTAATAGTACATATGGCCTTTACAGACTTTCTAGTAGTCCAGCTTTTCTACTAGTCCACTTTTATTATATATATACATATGCTAATGACCTCTTAGAATCATAGAATCCTAGAATCATTATGGTTGGAAGAGACCTCAAAGATCGTCAAGTCCAACCGTATACCCGATGCCACCATGCCCACTAAACCATGTCTCGAAGCGCCACATCTAAACGTTTTTTTGAACACCTCCAGGGATGGTGACTCCACCACCTCCCTGGGGAGCCCATTCCAATGCTTAACGACTCTTACAGTGAAAAAGTTCTTCCTAATATCCAGCCTGAACCTCCCCTGGCACAACTTGAGACCGTTTCCTCTTGTCCTATCGCTAATTACAGGGGAGAAGAGCCCAACCCCACCTCCCTACAGCCTCCTTTCAGGTAGTTGTAGAGGGCGATCAGGTCTCCCCTCAGCCTCCTCTTCTCCAGACTAAACACCCCCAGCTCCCTCAGCCGCTCCTCGTAAGGCTTTTTCTCCAGGCCCTTCACCAGCTTTGTTGCTCTTACAAAGTTCTACATCATGATGCGTTTTGTCTTGTACTCATTAAGGAAAGGGTTTTACTCTTAATTTTCAGAGAACAATGGTCATATTAATAAATGATGTACAGTTTTATTCAAGTAATATTGTTACTTAAGAAACTTTTCCACTGTCTTCCTCTGTTACCTTAAGGTAGTGTTTGGTGTGATTTTATTATGTTCATCTTATCTTTTCTGTTTAGAAAGTCTACTTGTAACTTCTCATTAAGTGGTGAACAAAAAGAAAGTGTAAAACACTTGTAAAATGAGGAATTTCTTACCTATTTGTTCCCCATATCTGTCTTCTCAAATTTGGTTAAAAAACCAGCACTTTTTTCTTTTCTCTTTTTTAAAAATTTTCTTTAAATGGCACTGGAAGCTTATTCCACAGTGAATTTATATGCTAACAGTTGATTGGATGGTTCTGTTCCTTTCTGAATAGTTAATTGGTAGTCTGAATTGAAGGATAGCATCACATCTTGGATCCTCCAGGAGCAATATTTTATCACTTGTGGATTCCATAGGAGGGAGAGCAGGGTTAAATAGAAGAAGCTGCTTCAGACAGATGGTTACAAGTTGACATTGGTTTGGTTATTAGTCATTTTCTTCCAATTTTGAAATCTGTTTATTGTTTGATAATTTGTCAATGGCATCAGATGCAGAGATCAGTGCAAAAATATGCTTTGCTACTTAAGATTTTTAGATGATGCTGTAAAATCATAGCTGTTCCTATGATGAAATCACTCTTGACAACGTACCCGCCGTTAGCTATTTCTGATGAAAGGGAGTTGGATGGCTGATACACTGGTCTTGCACATCTACAGACTTTCAGCTGCCTTTTGATGCCGACTCTGATGTGAGAAATCATTTAGTACGAAATGCATCAGACTCTAGAACACCAAAGCTCAGGCCCTTCCAGGTATACCCATACGACGTTGCCCCCTGATTTTGGAAAGCGTCTGGCTCCCCAGTTTAGAAGGGAATGCAAGCATTGTCATGCAGAACATAATAGCATCTGAGAGTTAGTACCCATTTCCTGGAATGAAATTCATGTTGTTTTAACAGCTTGGAGTCCCTTGTGGCGAGCAGAGTTAGGCTGGCACCTCAGAACAACTAAGCAACAGGAAGGCTACGCTAGCAAGTAGAAAATACTATAACTGAGAATTAGTCTGAATTCCTGTTTGTCTCCTACATTTGGAGGCCTTCTGCTGAACTACTCTGAGATACATACCTTTGTGGAACGGTTTAACAGTTTCGAATAGCTGCCTTTCAAACCCAACCTGTTATACAGCACATCCCTCAACGTAGTAGAAGAATGATGTAGCTCCAACTGTAGGTCCTACTACATAAATAGCCATGAAACCCTAAATTTTCATGGCAGAAAAAATAAAACTGAGCTAATACACCAAGTTTAATATACCTCTTAAATACAGCTTTATTGAATGATCAATGACTTTTTTAAAATGTGAAGAAATGAAAAAATTGTGGCTAGTCACAGAAGATAAAGTGTCTTGCACTTCTAAGCCTGTCAATTTCCTTCCTTTCTGTGCTCATACAGACACCAGGTAGGAAACACAACATTTAAAACTTGTTGATAATCTATCCAGATTTTTCTCCCTAGCATTAGCCACATATTGAACTCTGAGATTAGGTTAAGCCCTAGAAGATTGAATCAAGTAATTTCTACTCTTTGTTTTGGTTGCATTCCTCTTTCAGTCAAAACGAAGGTACAATGTTGCCTGAACTCAGAGTAAAGGCACCGGCAAGGTCTTAGAAAGAAATTTTTATTATTTTTTTTTTTTTAATTGTACAAATGTTTTATCCTTTTGAAAGACTGGAAGGTCTAGCTTCTGGTTTTCTCATTTAATTGAAACAATATAAGTAATACTGTGTACAGCACTGCACCTTAAGGCCCTTTTCTGTAACTGTGGGTGCTTTGGTTTATCTGGAAAAATGATATTAAGTCTGCTTCAACAGCCTACAAAGACTGTTTAAGAATTGAAGTGGTCATTTTGGCTAAGATCTTAAAGAATCAAATCATAGAATTCAGCAAAATGCAATGAGTGGTTTGTATCAGGGGCATTAT